ACGTAGATATTCGCTTGTCACTGGAAGGGATAACGTTCATAGAAAGGTGTATTAAATGCTCTGCGCCCGGTATCATTTAATGAGGAATATTCTGTGGCATTAAGAGCAACGGCCCGTTACAGGAAATTTGACATTTATGTCCACCGTTACATCTTCATCAATGGCCCTCATAATTGACATTAAAGGAGGGCACGATCCTAGGACCTCCTTCCCTAGACACAACTATAAATTGTGAGCTTAGTTATCATTGTAAGGTACACTAATTTTCTGGCTAACTTATACTATATTTTATAGAAAGCCTAATACAGTTTTACTTTTTTGCTCTTGATCTCATCATTGATGTGCCCGAAAATCTTCTTTTTGAGCAATGCGAAGAAGCGATGACATTTTTCCGACGATCTGGAAATGAACCTGCTCAAAGCTGATAATCTCCCTGTGAGCCTCTGGACTTCTTTTACTCCGGGATATCCTCTATGGCCTTGATATTGACTTTCTCTCTTTCTCAAAATTTCTTGGGTAGATTTTGTTTATGCATGTGGTTTTTATTGTTTGTATACTTCTAGCACTAAGCGCATTGAGTTGTAACTGATTAAAAAATTCTAATTAGAAGGCAAGAACTTGGTGCAAATATGGTATTTGACAATATGCCTAAAACAACTGAAAAAATTTCTATTTCATTTCTTTCCCCAGAGGTGATTTTAACATAATTATCTATCTCTTTCGAGGCCATAACTTTTGATAACACAAATATGGCACATATGAAATATGTTTTGGTAACTATAGGTATGACACTGAAATATGCAGCATATCCTTTACTGGTGTTGTATTTGCATATTCATTTGTATTTGAAAATATGGAGCTTTTCATGAAAAAAAAAATGAATAAGAATTATTCGTTATGGTGCCCTGCATTTTGATGGTGCTGCAATTAGTAATGTTTTTTTGGGAATTCATCATTAGCAGAAACTTTTATTCTATCTCTTTGTCCGGAATATCCATATAAACAGTAAGGTTTACATGATTAAGATTATTAATTTTTTCTTCTATTTATTTGCTATCTAGGCCGGTAAAAATGTATATCCAGACAATCTTTCTAATGTGCTTGTCGATGTAATGGTGATAAACTGCAGTACTTGTGATATCTGAACTCCCTGCGTGCCTCTCTATTTTTATTGTATAAGTAAAAGTTGATTTTTTTGCTGATGATATGTGGGTTCTAAAACAAGGTTATTTTATTATATTTTAATGCAGGAGATTAACTCATTAACTCGGCTCGTGGTTTTTGCGGCATCGAGTTCATATTATGTTCTCTCGTAAACTACGGACAACATATTAAGAGGCAAGAGAATGAACATTTTGCTTTCCCTATAAACTATAAGTGTTTTTCCATTTAGTGGTGATGATATTTCATTTTGTGGAATTTCGATATTTATAGTATATAAAAGGAGTGGAAGGTTTTCCTACTGGTTTCTGGCACATTCATAGATTATTCATGAAGAAATAGCTGCAACATGTAAGATGACAATAATGTAACTTGAGAAAACTTTATCAAAAATATATTCTTTTTTATGTTGAGGTAATAATATGCCCTTCCTTTTTCTATTTCTCAATGTAATGGTTTTTTCTATGCTAATTATGTATTACAAAAGCTTCTGATATTGAATAATTTGAGTTTTCTTGTTAAAGGCTTCTGTAAATAAAGAATTTTCTTTGATTGTGGACAAAAAGGCAAAAGGAATATTAGGAATAGTTAAAAGATAGCTAAATCCTTTGGATGGTTTGTGTTGATTGTATATTATATTTCATAATTATTAATTTGTGATAGCATGGAGTCTGTATGGGCTGTGAGAAATTTCATAGCAAATGGTTTATCTCGAAGAAGCCAAGGGTTTTGCACAAATGAACTTGGAATTCTCCTTCTGTATAATACGTTGTAAGCGATTGGTCATCCAACTCTTCTTTATTTTTTCACAGTTTTGTAAGTTCATTTTTATTTTATTTTTGATTTCCAGTCATATACTGTTAGATCAAACTCATAATATTGTTTTCCATTTTCCACGTATATCTGAATGAGAAAGCTGATGTGGACTTCACAAAGTATAATCAACCCAAGTCTGAATAGAGGATAGAGGTTGCAGCAGCATGATGGCCAGATCACAAAAGACCAACGGCTATAGATGCAAGTCTGTGATTGCACCTTCATACACGAGGAGGTGACAGAATATTATATTGGGAAGCACTTCATTTAACATACGTTTAATTTTTCTGCGTCAATAGGCAGAAGAGTAGTTAGTGGAGTTGTGTTTATATTGACAATATATTGGTTTTTGTATACATATTTTTATTGCACTTGGTGATGGTGCAAAATCTCTGAAAGTGTTTGGTTATTCAAGCCTTCTAAGGTATCTTATTAATTCGCAATTTATATTTCCATTACCAATTTAAAGTTTTATGTAATATTTCATTCTCACATTCTTCCATTGGAAGAGCAAAAATTGCTTCAAAACAAATAGAAGTTCATCCTACCTTTGTTTATATGTTGTAAATTATTACAAAAATGACATGTCCAGAAAATTACTACGAACTATATTCACTTAAGCCAAACAAAAGTTCAAATCCCTCTGGCCCGTGTACAATACGGGCACCATCCATCTAGTACATATATAAGAGAGAGACCAACCACAGTATCAACGAAGGCAACGTCAACGGATTTTAAACATTAAACCACCAACAACTTTAAGTATTATTCCCTCCTCAAAGTATTTTCAGTTGCAATATATATATATATGTAAAGTATATGCCGAAAAATGTGTGATTGATTTTTATATAGAGCATTCTCAATGCTCGGAGAGGTTTAAAATTAGTTCGAGTAATAAGTTTAGCCCGTAAAATGTAAGGGCAAAAAGAAATTAGAAATCCAAGCAACTAATTTAGGGTTTATATCCAACATCAAGGAGGAAAGTCATGAGCACTTGCTAAGAAAAGTGGCTAGCAGAACAAATATCATCTCAACTAACATACCTCAACTTGGATTTTGTTCGGAAATGGTAAAATGTAATAGTTGCTGGGAAATTTTGAACCTTTTCCAAGTAGAAATCCCTCTATTTTTGATATAACCATTCCGATCCGAGGAGTGTTTAGCCCGTTTCTGATTTGGTATACATACACCATTTCTTGTTGCGAGTTGCTTCTGATCTTCTATGATCAAGTGCTCTTGACAATTGAGTTAACATGAGAATTAGGAACTTTTTTTAGGAAGAGATAGAGATAAGAAGGTATAACAAATATATATACGGTTCTTTTGTTTAAATTTTGGTGTCTGTAATTTCAATACTTTTTAATTTATTTAGATGAAAAAATATAAAATTAACTTTATGTAAAGGAGAGTTTATAGAAAAGAGCCGATAAAAAAGGATGATTGAATATTTATTTAACAAAAAATCTGTGTATTACAACATCTATTTTAATTTTAGTAAGGTTTTCAAGTGGCTTGTTAAAAGATTGCCACTTGGCTTGTTACTTGTCACTTGACTAAATAACAAGCCAAATATATATACATACATACATACATATATATATATATATATATATATATATATAATAGATACTAGTTTTTGGATATGTGCTTACCCAACATTAATCAGTATTTAACTTATAGCAAATAAAAAAAAGTATTACATAAACCGCATACATTATTCTAAAGTGGTTGAGTTTTAAAACATATTTTATAGCATACAAAAAGTTAATTATTGTATGTCATTTAATATCTTTAATTTCTTAACTTTCTTTCTTGAGTGATGTACGTAATTGGAAGTAATTTTAATTGTCCGTAATTTGTTCGTAAACACTATATGAAGAAAAGGAAAGGAAGATCCAATTTTCCGTGCTATGGAAGCTTTTGAAGCTTTTGAAAATATATAAGTGCTATCACTTCTGTAATAAAGGATTTAAAGGAGGAGAAAAATTGAATAAAGAAGCAAATAATATATAAAGAAATTGTAAAAATATCAGTAAAAATTGTACAATGACGGCTGGAACGTGTAAGGCAACATCCCTTATTATGATTATTTCTTTAGTGCTGTTTATCTTTTTTTTACCAGGACAATTAAGTACAAAATATTACTTAATGGAAGGTAATTTTAATTTTAGGTTGAGGATAATTTGGTCATTTAATTTTTGAAGAATATTGTAGTAAATTAACTCCACCTAAAAGTCATTATGCTTATAATATAGTATGATGATGATATATAGATTATTAACTAGAAACTTCTTATCGGATGAATGGAGTTAGAAAAAGTAAATAACATGTAAATGTCACGGAATAAAAGAGAGAAGGTAGCTAGTATCTTAGTAAATAGGAATGGCAATATAAGGAAAGAAAGTAACTTGAGTCTCAAGCGCAACCCTCCCAAGAACTGTTAATTATAAGTTTCCTATTAGACCAAATTGAATATAATTACCTAAAGTAAAAGATTTAAAAACTTGTAAACGGTAAAAGAGGAAAGTAAGTACATTATTCTTTAATTTCTTAATTTTCTTCTGTTTAAAAAAACTATTTCTAGAAATTTCCTATTTGGATGAATGAAAGTAAGTTAAAATAAATAAAATGAAATTGAGAAAAAGTTAATTAAGGAAACTATATTTTCAGATTCTTCTATTAAACCGTGGAGTATTAAGTTAGTTAAAAAAACTAATTAGAAATTATAAAAATTAGGAAATTAAAGAAAGTGACTTAAGTTCCAAGCGTTAACCTTCCGCATAAGTCAAAACACTTTTTTCTCTCCTAAAAATTTGTTTCTTAATTTTCGTTGTTGGAATTAAACTGATATAGATATCTATAAATGGTCCATTACATCAATAAGCTTCGGCCATTCGTTTTGGGTTTCTTTTCATAGTTCTTTGTCTTCTTACTTGAGAGAACGTATTGCGGCAATTACTATTGTCTCATTCTTGTGTTTTCTCTATAAGCAAGAAAAGGAGACCTATATATATATATATACCATGTCGTCGTTACCTGTACGTCGTGGGTGTATCATGGGTGTTCGGTTTTACCCAACTGAAGCAGAGTTGATCAACTTTCTGAAAAGGTTCCTAAAGAGCAAGCCTTTGCCGAGTGAATGCCCTAATTTCCAACTTGCCGATATCTATGGAGACCAACCACCATGGGAGATATTTAGAGCTAATTCTGATCATCCCGAAGAGAAGGTTCGCTATTTTTTTACTCGGTTGAAGAAACAGAAGAGCGAACATACAAGGGTTCGTCGAACTTGTGCCAACGGGACATGGAAAGTCCAAACCAAGGGTTTTCCTATCAAGAATGGCAAGGGAACAGTGGTTGGGTTTAGAAGAAGTTTCAAGTTTCAAAGTAGTAGTACTAAAGAAGGAGAGAACAATAAAATTTGGCTGATGAAAGAATATTTCGTGGGAGATGATTTCTTCATAGAAAACAACATTCCTAAAGAGGATATTGTAGTGTGCCGAATCAAGAAGAATACAAGATCAGAGAAAAATCATGGGGCAAATATGGAGGAACAATATGTTGCCAACAACGTGATCGAAGCTATGTTGCATGGACCTGATGAAGATTACTGCGCAACAGTACAACCAGCAATAATTTGTCAAGCAGTTGAACATCAAGTTATGGATGAGGCTCAGAAGATGAACGAACATAACAATAGCAGCTATATTAATGACTGCTCCAACTACCAAGAAGAGATCAATTGGGCTGATGGTGTGCTCGTAGATATCGACAATTTTGGTAAATTGTGGAACCAGAACGCAGGGAAGGAGAGCAGCAATCAGTTAACAAATTTAGTGAATGAAGTTTACTCAATAGAGCTTATAGAAAAGTAGAGCTTCTAGGTAATAGTAGTGTCTCATCAGTCATCGGAACAAACTTCTTAAGAGAAGCTTGCTGGGAGATTTTACTTGTATTCATGTATATGGAGTATCATTTAGTAATTTTGCCACAGATTTTGCCTATATTATTCTTGTAGTGTATCTTGTTGGTTTCGCTGAAAACAGTTATCTTTTGTTGTTTCGATTGCGAGACTCAATAGGAAAGATAGGAAATGTATGTGCGCTTTCAGTGAGAAAAAATATATTTTACTTTCACACATACACACAACACCATCTTACTACAGTTTTTTAAATTTTTTTCAACACCTAATAATTTGACCCCTGATAAGTACTATATATATGGTTCTTTCTACATCATTGCTCGTGATATGGCGATGAATCTCTATTAATTAAATTACATGTCGTAAAAGATTTCATCCATCAAGCTATATATATGCCCTATGATTTAATTTACATGTCCAATATATGGATTTCTTGTCATGTTCTTACGGGAGTAGGCAAAATTTCTAGATCTAACAAGCATTCTAGTGTTGGTGTTGTCGAGGAACTGTTTGAGAGGGATCTGTGCTTGTCGAAATGTACGATTTATACAGATTTGTTTTAGTGCAATTCAACCAACATAATCAAACTTAAAATTGACATTGCATTATCATTTTGATACATAGGTGTTATGAGTGTGTACCATGTAAGCTTTTTTGACTGTTGCATTTAGTACGTAAGCTACATCTGTTGATCAAAGTGTTTGTAGAATTTCATGAGGACTTAGAGCACTTTTATTTTTTGTCTTCCTGCAGAAGTTTCGACTAATGGTTTCAGCTCATTTATGAAACTTATCTGCTGATTGGAATTATCTTTTATTTGTTCTAATCATGGTGTGTAAACATGTGAAGAGGCTTCTATTTTGGAAGTATTGTTGTTGATTATAGGTAAGATGGCTTTGCTAGTTTATAGATGAAATTGTATGAAGAAGAAGAGAAATCAAGAAGAGTAGATGCAGAAAGAAGAGAGATCAGAGAGAAGACAGAATGAAAAAGAAGAAGATTGAATCAGAAAGGAAATATTATTGTGTTATTCAGTATCTGTGAGTTCGAGTCTCCCCAAGAGCAAGGTGAGAAGTTCTTGGGAGGAAGGATACCGAGGATCTATCTGGAAATAGCCTCTCTACCCCAGGGTAGGGATAAGGTCTGCATACACACTACCTTCCCCAGACCCCACTAAGTGGGATTATACTGGATTGTTGTTGTTGTTGTTGTTGTTATTATTGTTGTTGTTGTTGTTGTTGTTGTTGTTGTTGTTAGTATGTGTGTGTATATATAATACACTTGTCCAACTAACTTAACCACCTACTAGATTCTTATTGGTGGAGTATAATAAAATGACTAACCTACCCTTTAAAAACTTATGTAACACCTTTCTCAACACTCCCCTCAAGCTAGGAAGTGCAAAAATATTTAAAATTTCTAGCTTGAAATTGAGGTATTCATGCTGAACTCGATTGAGTCCTTTAATCGCAATGTCAGCTGGTTGATCTCTTGTAGGAGTGTACTTTATCGTGATCAATCCTTGTAAGATCTTTTCTCTAATGAAAGAGCCGTCAATTTTAATATGTTTGGTACTTTCATGATAAGTTGGATTTGCAGCAATTTGCATGGCTGCTTTGCTGTCGCTATAAACATTAACAGGCTTTTTAGTATCAATTCCTAGTTATATTAAAATGGTATATCTCTAGTTTGTCTGCGGAAATCTTTTTTTAAAGAAAAATAATTAGAATATTTCAGCGTTAGAGAACCTCTAGTTTATCTCAGAAGCAAATTATGTAGTAAAGATTAAAGAATACAGATAATTCATATAACCCATCTTAATTCATAAAAAATTGATACAAATTTAATGTATCTATAACAACTGACAACTTAAAATATAAATTTCTTCCAACTAATTATATAGTATATAATTTATTTATAACTTTCATAATACAACTATAATAACTAACAACTTAAATATAATTTCATACAATTTTCATATAACTATAATACAACTTTAATATCATTTTGGTGCATCTTCAAATGTGTGTCAGTTATAATTTGTGTGTCATACTTCATACGATATTATACAATTTTCTTGTAATTCGCATACAAATTGCATACAATATGTCGTTTATGTATTTTGTATGTGGTTTCAGTTCGTATGCATATAACTTAAATGTCATTTTCATACAACTATAGTACAAATTTAATGCAATTTTTAACATATAATCTTCTAATGTATTTTGTACGGATTTCCTATGTCGTGTTCTTCTTTCTCTTCGAGTTTCAATATCAAAATTTAGCTACAATTAACTCTAATCTTCACCAAATACCCTCAAAATTGAGATATAAACTCTAAAGGATATTCCCGTCATTTGTAATAACACCCAACTAAAAAATAATATCTTGAGAAGACGCGAATATCAATTCAAAACTTCAAAACTTATTAATGGTTGTCAACGATAGAGAGTCAAACACTCAAAAAAAATTATTAATATGGAATTTTATTTAGAACAAACATTGTGCTACAGTAAAGAAAATTGCTAAGTTAAAACTATATAGCCAAACAATTAAGGAGTCGTTTGGTATGAGGTATAAGTAGATATAGTGGTGGTATAAAGATTTAATATTACCTTAATACTTTGTTTGATTAGCAAACTTGGTATAAGCTATCCCGAAACAAAATATTAGCCACAAGTTTAATAAGGAAATAATCAGAGATCTTTATTTTACACATAAGACACGTAAAATAAAGAGAATTTTTCATAAAGCACCATCTTTTAGGTCTAATTAGTCATTTATAGATACCTTTTTCTATATTACGTGTTATAGATACCTTTTATGTTTTTATACAATGTATTTCATGTATTTAAGTTG